TTCAAGGCAAGGCGCACTGCCAACAACTCTAGGCAATTGATGTGCCAATGTAGATCCCGTCCAAACCCCTGAGACTGCATGCCCGTTGTACGTGGCACCCCACCCGGTGGTGGAGGCATCCGTGTAGACCACAGCATGCCTGGAGATCTGCTCTAGGGGCACCCCTGCCCGGAGGAACGCAAGATCTGACCACGGGGTGAAGGTTTGGTGACAGGCTGGTGTAACTTGGACCCGGTGAGTGCCGCGCTTCCACGCTCACCTCGGGACTCGGCCATAAAGCCAGTGCTGGAGCGGTCTCATATGTAATAGGCCGGGCAGTGTAAGTGCCACTGCGGCCGTCATATGCCCCAGGAGCCTCTGAAAAAGTATCAGTGGGACCGCTGTCCTGCCCTTGAACGTATTCAAGCAGGCTAGCACCGACCGCGCACGTTCCTCTGTGAGGCGCGCTGTCTGTTCGACCGAATCCAACTCCATACCGAGAAAAGAGATCCTCTGCGTCAGGGAGTGTTTGCTCTTTTCCCAGTTGAGCCGAAGGCCCAACAGGCTGAGATGCCGAAGCGCCAGGTCCCTGTGCTCGCACAACTGATCCTGAGACTGTGCTAGTATAAGCCAATCGTCTAGATAGTTAACCCTCTGAGGTCGATTAACGCGGATACGCGTTTTGAGGCATCTTCTCCTGATCACACCGAAAATAACAAACACAATCACATACATACATGCTGCTCACATATTATTGTAGCCCAGTTTGTGCTGATTATGGTGCTACTAAACTTAGTCATTAAAATGTTTATTAGCAACTGAAAAAAGCACAAATGTCAGGACATGTCAAAACTTCTCCAGAGCCCAAAACACCCTCAGACCCCAGAGGGTTAACAACGTGAACACCCTGCTCTCTGAGGGGAACAAGAGCTGCCTCCGCAACTTTCGTAAAGACACGGGGAGACAGGGACAGCCCGAAGGGCAGGACCTTGTACTGATATGCCCGTCCTTCGAACGCAAACCGCAGAAATGGTCTGTGGCGCCTGAAAGTACGCGTCTTTCAGGTCGATCGCTGCAAACCAATCTCATGGACGGACACACCCGAAGATGCGTTTCTGCGTCAGCCGATGAAGGGCCCGGTTCAAAACTCGCAGATTCAAGATTGGCCGTAACCCACCGCCTTTCTTGGGTACAATGAAGTAAGGGCTGTAAAACCCCGACCTCATATCAGCTGGAGGGACCGGCTCTATCGCATCCATTGCCAGTAGGACTGCGATCTCTGCCCGCAGAACAGGGGCATCGGCCGCCCTCACTGTAGTGAAGTGGATACCGCTGAACTTGGGCGGGCACCAGGCGAACTGAATCGCATAGCCGACGCTGATGGTCCGCAGAAGCCAGTGAGACGTGCTGGGTAGCGCTGACCAAGCGCCCAGAAACCATACAAGCGGGACCACAGCCGTACCCGCAGTGGGGCAGCGAGGTGGAACACAGGGACCCAACTCGGGTGGCTTGTGAGAGGGCCGGAGAGGGGTGTGAGTGTGGGGTGGAAGGCTCACCTGGTTCCACGGGTTGGCAGAGGGTGCGTGAGTAGGACCTTTGTTGACGCTCTCGAACCGCCCGCTGCTGCCGGCTGGCGAAGGAGGAGGAGGAGGATGAGTGAGGTCCGGCGTTAGTCCGTCCGCAACTTTCCGTGCCCTCCTGGGACCCAGAGATAAAGGAAACTGCTCTTTTGTCGAGAATTTGGGTACCGTCGGCCGTGAGGCCAACGGCGGGAAACTTCTCTCTAGAGTTAATTTTTCTAGCTGACTAATGAGTTCATGTTCACCGAATGTTTTTCTGAGATCAATATGACGTAATGTGAAACATTGCTTGCAAGCTATTGTCATCTTTCCACATTTGAAACACTGATTGAGCGATTACATGAGACAGGATATGGATTTCGGTAAGTTGTACTCTTTCTTTTAACACCTTCGGATGTTTATTCATGTTTATTTCATGCTGTAACTGCTATTAAAGCGGAGGAGACAATCAGTTCACAGCGATCTGGCACTCCACATCAAACAGCACCAAAATGGCATTTAATATTTGAATATTGTAATAAAATGGACAGAATTTAAAATCTGAGACTTTGGTTCATATCAAAATTAACAAATCACAAAACTTATTGCAATTTATTGGATGGGGAGGCGTGCTACAATGTTCAGTTCATTATCGGACAGGTTAGACTAATCGATTCTCGGGATTTATGAATCGATATATTTTCATAAAAATGAGAATCAATTAAAATCAAGAAATCATATTTTTTTACCCCTACTATATAAGTCGGCTTAGAGTGCCATTCATCAGAATATTTCAACTGATAGCGACAGTCATCGACTTGTGTGCAGCCTTATAGCAACAACAGCTAACGCAATGCTTGTCCTTTATCTTTCAAACGGTCTCTCCCATTGCGTTGTGCACTTAGGGGGAACGCATCCAATAATGCCATGCTATAGGCAAGTGCAGAACGAAGTCACTCTGCGAGCCCAGCCCCAGAGCGCCCGTAATGAGGGATCCTAAAAAAGCATGAGCCAAATATGAGACCCAAGTTTATAAAATCTGGTGAAGGTAGACAATGAAGACCAGCCAGCTGCCGCACAGATATCACCTATTAAAACTCCCCTGGACCAAGCCCAAGAGGAGGCCATTCCTCTAATGGAGTGGGCCCTCACGCCAATATTACACTGTAAGCTCTCTGACTTGTGCTCTGAATGGAGTGGAGAGCACTTTAGGCACATAGCATGAAGCACTGATTGACCGTGCTTGCAAGTCGCCCACTCTATGCACTTTTGAGTATGTGTGTCCGCTATCACAGAGGTATTTTTGTTGGGCACGCACTGAAAGGCAGTTCCAATTTAAGCAGAGCTTCCATCGCCCAGAGCTAGGCAGGGGGGTGGAGAGCGTACACAAGCTTTCTTTGAGGGTATTCAAGCCTCGGTGGGACCAGTATTACTCGGGGACAGGGTCCCTGGTGCTTAGGAAACAGGTAGTGTTTCGCCACCTGAAGGTGTTGTGTCATTGATGGAACGGGCTTAGCAGGCTGCTGAAAGGATGGAACCTTCTGGTGAATTGAAGCATCTGCCAAACGGGACCGCTTCGGCAGGAAGTGACGCATGCATAGCCTGCGATGACTTCTGTGCCGCCGGGAAGCGTTCAGCAAATCCATCCATAGCCTGGCCAAATAATCCTTTGCAGGAAACTAGGGAGTCGAGAAAGGCGACCTTGTCATTGTCCTTGATCTCCGTTAAATTAAACCAAAGGTGACACTCCAGCACCACCAAGTTGACCATGGCTTTCCATTTTGCCTGTGCTGTTGCCTTTATTTCGCACAGAGCCAGATCAGTTGCTGTGGGCAGATCCTTAAAGGCGTCAGATCTAGAGCAGGACTTATTCATGGAGCGAAGAAGTTTGGCTTGGAAAACTTGGAGCACCGCCATCGTGTGCAGTGCTGAGCCAGTTTGGCCAGCCATTCAATAGGCCCTGCCCACGATGCAGGTTCCTGCAGGGCTTATGGATGCGTTGCATGTGCCTTCAATCCTAGGGCTGATGGAGGGTGGAGATGAGCAACGACCACCTCTTCCAGAGGGGGAAGCGTTCCATAACCTTTCTTTTCAGTGTCGTTAACAGAGGTGAGGTCGGCAGAAGTAGCAGTGTGAGGGGCACTGATCCTATCTTGAGAATAACACCGGTGAATCAAAGTGCTGTGGGGGGAGTGAAGCACATGGGACCTGTGCCGGCATGAGATCACTCAAATCTGGGAAATCCATTCCTCTGCACTGCTGTTTCTTCCACAGAGTCTCCTGGGAGGGGAGACACAAGGGAACAGATGAGGGAGGACCGACCTTCATTAAAGGAGGCTATATGTGACCGAAGCAGGGCAAGACTCATGCTCTCACAGTGAGAGCAATCCGTCTCAGTGAGCGTTGCCTTGGCGTGGGTGCTGCCCAGGCACACGACACACTCACTGTGCACATCTGAGCCACACTTGCAGCGTGACATTTGAAACAATGCCGCTAAAGAAATTGCTCTTAGGAAGTGCTCTTTTCAGTCACCGGATGGAAGCGCTGTTAGAGGCATCCTTCCTCTGCATCTTCGTGCTGAAGGAGAAAAATTCTGATGAATGGTGCTCTGAGCCGACTTATATAGCAGTCGGTTCCACCCCTTTTGGCGGGTTGAAGTGCCATTTGTTCATGCAGCTACACGAACGTGAACAAATCTTGCTTCAGTATCAGAGTTTACTGGAGTAATGATGATGAAATTCAGCTTTACATCACAGGAATAAATTACACTTTAAAATACATTCAAACAGAAAACAGTTATTTTAAATTATAATAATATATCATAGTATTACTTTTTTAATAATAAATAACAGTATTTTTGACTAATTGCAGCCTTGGTGAGACTCCTTTAAAAAAAAGCTATTTAAAAATATATTTTTTTAATCTTACCAGCAGCAAACTTTTGAATTGTAGTTTAAATGCAAATGAAATGAAATAATGTGAAAAGGAATAAATTTATATATTTTATATTACAAAAAAAAAAAAGTTCAGACTTTTTCTCGTTTTGAAAGTCATGAAGCTCTTTTCTGTTTATTTCCTTTCATTTAATTAATGCAAGCTGTTCAAAAAAGATGCAATGTGATCAATTCAAATCTTTCAGGACCATTTATTTAGACCAAAAAGCACTCATGTAAAGTTTCCTTGAGTTGTATATCCTAATTTTTCATCCATGTTTACTTAGTTGGCCCCTGACGATGCATGGAAGTGTCCTCACTGTAAGCAGCTGCAGCAGGGCATGGTGCAGATGAGCTTGTGGACCCTCCCAGACATCCTCATCCTTCACCTCAAACGATTCCGACAGGTGGGAGAGCGCCGTAACAAGCTCTCCACGCTGGTACACTTCCCCCTCACTGGCCTCGATATGGGCCGCCACATGGTCAAGAGGAGCAACTGTGCCCGTCCACCGCCCGGCTGGAAACAACAGGCCCATCACCAGCCTGAAGCCAGCCGACACACGCTGAACTTCCTGTACGACCTGTACGCCGTGTGTAACCATCATGGAGGCATGCATGGAGGCCATTACACAGGTGTGTGAGTGAAGGAGAAATTAGAAATTATGTATAACCTTCCTGTAGCTTAAAGGGATAGTTCAACCAAATTTTTTTATTTGCTTTTAATTTACTCACTCTCAGGCCAACCAAGATGTAGTTTACTTTTTTCTTCAGTAGAACAGTAAAGAAGATTTTTTTGCTGAATCCGTGGTGCTTGGTGATTCATAAGATGCAAGCAATGGCTGCCTACACTTTGAGAGTCAAAAAAGCATGTACAGGCAAGATAAAATTAATGCCCGTGACTAGGGCTGGGCGATATAGCTAAAAAATGTATCAACGATATAATGTTTCATATCGTTTGGTATCGATAATTATTGAAAATATTATTTTATATTTTTACCTTTTTTAAAACAAAAAGCAATAATTTTTTTTTTTATTTAACCACTGTATTTATAATTAACACCATTTATTGAGACAAACAACAAATATTTTTTGTTTTAACAATCAAAACGCAATAAAAATTAAACAAATCTAATTTCTAATGTTTTATATGCAGATTAAATAGGTCTTTATTGTATAGGTCTAATTAATGCAGCGCATTTAAATTGTCAACGCAAGGATGTAACTCTATAAAAACGTGCATTACGTCTAAATTAACTCATAAAAATCTAATATAATTTCGTAAATTGCATAAACAATTATGAACACAACAGCATCATGTATTTATGCATTGCTTAATCCGAAGAGCCGAAGCGGCCATCACGCAGATTGCATTTAAAAACATATGAGACGCAGTGAAAAGGAATAAACCTCCACAAATTCATGACATGTTTTCTAAAAGTTTAAACTGTTTGTTTTAAGTTTGCATTGCTTTCTATACATCTCTTGTGTGAGACACGAGTGCAGCAGTCATATTTGTCCGTCTAAAAAATGCACTGAATATGCGTTCTGTGTGAATGGCTTGGTTTCGGTTTTAACCCATTCAAGATCTTCTCTGCATTGAGCTTCTATATTTCTCTAATATTTTGAATGCAAAACACAGCAGCGGCGTGTCTCGTGGGCTAGACTAACAAAATATTAAAATGCAACAACGTCACTTACATCATCATCACCACATCTTGCGCACCACTGATGACGCTCCCTGATGCACACCTAACATTCAAATGCAAATGTTTTTTAAATTTGACTAATATTCATTCTTTATTCACAATCTCCTCATCACAGGCAGGCACCGCACTCATTTCAGCATGTGTTCGTGTGCGCGTCACTCATAGCACGTGCCTATATCGTGCGCTATATTGAAAAAAAATTCTATCGATATCGAAGAAGGTGTACCGTCGATAAATATCGATACCATTTTATCGCCCAGGCCTACCCATGACTCCTGACGACATACTGAGGTCTTATGAAGCGAAATGATTAGCCTGTACAAGAAATTGAACATTATTTGTAACATTATTACCTGTATCTGTAATGCAATAGAGGTCACTTTTGATAAAAGTGCCTTCCAAATGCATATATGTAAACGCAAATATGTTAACAAGATTTAATTTGTGCCTTTTAGGAGAAAAAGATTAGAAAAAATTATATTTAACTGAAAGATAAATACTACTACTAAATCACAAGACATAAAAAAAACATCTGAGCAACAAAAATTAGGAAAGCACTGATATTAAAATTTTGGTTGATTTAAAAAAAAAAGGCCAATAATAATTTTCATATTATTATTTTGTCTATACTATAAATAAACTAAAATTTTAAAAATAAAACAAAAATTGCTTTAAAAATAGTTTCAACTACAAATAAATTGTTAAAAGCTAAAGATTATGTTTAACAGTGCTCTTAAATTATTAATGTTTTTTAAAGATCAAATTTAAATGAGCATTAGAGGATTGCAAAATTAATCTAAATGTAAAGCTGAGCATGTACAATAAACATCCAATAACAACTGATACTTTCTAAATTCATATCACTAATATCACTGATATCTGAAATGGTACTGATATACTATGCATCCTTAAAAAAATTCCCTTTGAGCCCCTCTACTGATTACATGCGTCCTATACGATAAGGGTGTTTTGCAGTGCTGCACATGGTGGGATCTCAGCCGGATTTATGGGATTATAATGAGGAAAGAACACTTGAAAATCCTTCAGAAATACGCCATCCCTTCTAGATCCAGAGTGGATTCACATTTCAGTGAAATAATGACCCCAAATATTTGTCAGAGTCCCGAGCAGCTATTTCAAGCAAGAAGCTTGCATCAGATTGTGCAAGGCAATGCTCTGGTCACTTCAGTCCATTGGCAACCGAAGCACAAAGTTAAAAGGTGATGGGGAAAAAGGCGGCCAAGCGACACGAGGCAGCTCATGATGTTCACCCAGGAGGAAAGAGGAAAATATTCCAGCCTCGTTTCTGTGCAAGCTGATGGACAGAATGGACAGAATTTACCAAATATAGTAGCTGTCAGGAAAGGAAACTTTGATGAAGCTGAATGATCTTATACTTCAAAGTACAAGCCGAAATATTAACTATTTTATGTGAGAATTATGTGCTAAATAATTACACTGCAAACCCTGTTTCTTAATTATTAATATCACTATGAAAAAAACATCATAAGACTGAGAGTAGTTTATTTTTCTTACCTCGGTGACAAACTGTCTATTCTAGTTTTTAAGCATCAAAATCATGCTTATGCAATTTAATCTTTTGATAATTTGCTATGCATTTTCATAGAAAGCAAGATATATATATATAAAAATACTTTTTGTATGTGTGCATAAATGAAAATATTAGTGTTGTCCTAATAATTCTTGCCCCCAGTGTAAGTATATTTATACATACTTGAGCATGAAGTATAGAGCATTGTGAACATAATGAGTCTGTGTTTTGAGCAGCATACTGCAGGAACTCAGTGGACGGTCAGTGGTATGCCTACGATGACAGCAGTGTTGAGTCGGTGCCTGAGGGGGAAGTGTGCACACGTGGTGCTTATATCCTCTTCTATCAGAGACGAGATGCCATCCCATCCTGGTCAGCTAGCTGCTCTCTACAAGGTGAATGCTCATCTCTGCATCTCTGCCTTAATGTATACCCACACTACCAAGGGCAAACAAGCAGAAAGCATACTCAAGTTTGCATTATCAAGAGAATACAAGAATCGGCTAATGTAGTTTTGTTTAGTAGATCATTTCATGCCTGGTAGGTGTGCAATCTTTTTATGGTTTTCACAATATATATACTTAAATTTCTGATACTAAGAAATTTATGATTACATTTTGAAAATCTGCTATTAAGTTTGTTAGAATGTTCACCACTCAAAATGCAATATTGACTGCTTTTATTTTTACATTTTACTTCACTATATTTTATTTTATTTTTAAAATTCCACTCCTCAGAACATGGAAATAGCTAGTAGAGTAACTTTATTTGCTATCTATTTTATGCAAACAAAGTAGACAATAAGGCATTCTAGACTGTGAATATATACATTAATGTTTTACTGTAAATTTGATCAAATGAATGTAGCCTTGGTGAGCATAAGTATAATAAATAATAAATATAATATAAATATAATAAATATTACCAACCCCATACTTTTCAACGCTAGTGTACTTGCAGCAATGTCAAATGGCAAAGTCACATCCAACCTCTGGGTGGCTCCAAGAGCTTTTCCACACAGCTCTCTTCAACTTCTCTATGAGAACCACATCTTCAGAATCCAAATATAAACACAGAAATGACACAAATGGAATTATATGTATTCAGCACTACATTGTTCAAACTATACAGTTGACTTTGGGGGAGCCCACTTGTTTTTTTTTATTGGGGGGGGGGGGTTAGTGCGCTTGCACGTGCCTCAAAAGAGGGCTTACAATAACTTGCAAAGATACATATCAGCTACAAGTGTATGCACTACTTGCTTTATGCAAGCACTATATAGGATAAATCACTATTCAGGATTTACCCTATTATACTTTATCGACACAAATTGATAGGTGAAACAACAAACAGCCACCCACAAATAGTCTATATGCAAAGCATCAGGCTGTCTTTGAGTTCATATGAACAACGGTTAAAGTTACTCGTCGTCAGGCTACAGAAGAATACCATAATTCCTCCGTTCAATTAGGCCTAAGACATCGAGAGTCACGCAGACTTATAACAACCCAACACATAATTGTGAATAACATGCCTTACCTTAACACAGAATCGACCACAGAGTCCCACGTTTATATTTTTTCTACGAATCTTTGAGTTAACATGTACTAAACATGAGTGGAATTTGCACCGCAGCGCCCCCACACCTTGATGCTCATGACAAGAATTGCATATATAGTTATCTTTATTGATCTTTATTATATGCATGAATGAATTATATTTTTGCAATTTTACACATAATAATCCACGATGATCACATTACACAAAACTGAAATTGCACGTCAAAATAACACATTGACAATATTTTGAGACCCCCCCCCCCCCCTTTCCAAATCCCGTTTTCAGGGGAGCCCATGTCTTTTCAAGGGGAGCCGAGCTCCCCCGTAGTTCGCGCCCCCCCCCCCCCCCCATGTCTTATTAAGGGGAGCTGAGCTCCCCCGTAGTTCGCACCCTGCAGCACTAGTCCAAAGACTGCCTGGTCACTGTGTAGCCATGACATAACCTTGGTGCCGGAACAAGAACATAACATTTCCAGGAAGGACAAAGCACAGTCATGGCTTTGAGCTGCTTGTCACAGGGGGCTGGAGACACAAAATTTCACACACACACACATTCTCTGACAGAGTTTTCTCACTTTCTCTTTCTGCTCCAGTGTCTCTGCTGCTGTTTGCCTTCCTTTTCCCTCTCCACTGAAGTTAAATTATATGATACTTCAACAAATCAAATCTACACAGTCATATCACAAGTCAAAAGATTAGAGTTATAGCCTAAAGAAATTATTATGATGACTGTATATGTCCACAGAACCAAGCTGAGCGGGCGTTTTCAATTAATTCTCTGTGTGAGGTGAGCGGCAGGTTCCCACATCAAAAAGTCGAGCAATTTTCGACTTTACAGTATGTAAATGAGAGGTAAAAACGCTGTGTGCCAGTGAATAGATGTGAGATGAATGCAGTACTGTCCGTCTAAGCTTTTTAAAATCTGCCTGTAGTGCTGGTGCATTGCTTAAATGTCATTCTTGCATATTACTAGATTAAATCAGATGTCAATGCATTATGCACACTTTCTCTGTAGCTATGAGTTAAAAAAGTTTAGCACAATTGTAGACCACTCTTAAAGCAGCTTTGTACATGCGAACTTTTTACACACGTCTTGCAGCGTTTCTTCTACACCAGTGGAAACAAACACTACCATTCGAAAATGTTCATGTTTTTGAAAGAAGTCTCTTATGCTCACCAATACTGCATTTATTTGATCAAAAATACAGTAAAAACACTAATATTATGAAATATAATTTCAATCTGAAATAACTGTTTTCTATTTGAATATAATTTAAAGTGTAATTTTTTCCTTTGATGTAAAGCTAAATTTTCAGCATCATTACTCCAGTCTTCAGTGTCACATGATCCTTCAGAAATCATTCTAATATGCTGATTTGATATTATTATCAATGTCGAAAACCGTTTTTGCTGCTTAATTTTTGTGGAAACCGTGATACATTATTCAGGATTCTTTGATGCATAGAAAGTTTAAAAGAACAGAATTTATTTGAAATAGACATTTTTATAACATTGTTGATGTCTTTCATGTAAAAATTAATACATCCTTGCTTAATTATTTTTTATTTTTTTAAAGGGTCTTACTGACCCTAAATGTTTTAACAGTAGTGTATGGTTTGAGTGCTGGCTTTGTTTGAACAAACTAAGTGCACTTCACTAAGTGGTAAATGCAATTAAAATGAGTTTGCAGTGTTGAAAGATATGCATATTAAATAATGGAAGGACTGAATTTTACAGGTAATTGAGATATTTAGCCATTATGCCTAACAGCATATTTTACAACATTTCCTAAACATTTCCAAATTTCCTAAACTAATGTTAAAATTGTTATTTTTTTAAATATATTTATATATTTCCCATAGTGAAGCAAGTCACAATAAATTATTTGCATATTTTGCTATATTTTTCTACATAGTAATTTTATGTTGTGCATTTTACTGTTAAAATCCAGTGAGCAGTTTTTAATGATATATGACTATATGATATCTGATTTTTTTTTATAATACATTTTGATATGATCAGAGGTGCTGTAATTATCCATGAATTGTCATGCAGCAGATGCCTTAGGTTTCTCTAATGTGATCATTAGCTTCAAAAATAAAACAGATTCCACAAACATGAACCCGAGTTCAGTTAAGCCATCACCTTCAGTGTTCACTGTTCGCAAAGTCACATTTTATTTCATTGTGCTTTGTCAATCCTTATATATAATATGAAGCTTTTCAGCTTAAGCCACACATATGGTTAAAGATCAGGTCAAAACTCATCTTTTTACTTTGGTGTTTATTAATTGATTTCGTTATAGTCATGTTATGTGTATTTGACATTATGCTATTAATATTTTACTTACTGTATTTGTGCTATTGACAGTGTACAGCACTTTGGTTGGCTTTTAGCTGTTTTTAAATGTGCTTTAGAAATAAACTTGAACTTGATATGGGTTTTCGAAGAATATCTTTTTTTGCCGTTTGTAACATAGCTATCCTTCAGTGTAAACAGTCTGAAAAAATGGTCATCAAAAAAGTGTATGATAAATAAAGATATTGTCTCTCAAAAGAAAGTGTCGACTCTGAACCGCCTTAAAGGGGTCATAGGATGCTACATGCACTTTTACAAGTTGTTTGAACTGAAATGTGTGTTGGCAGTGTGTGTACACAACCACCCTATAATGATAAAAATCCACCCAGTGTTTTTTTTTTAATTTGGTTAAATGTTTTCCCCTTTCTCAAATCGAGCCGATCTCAGATGCAAATGTAGATGCAAACTATCGTGGGAGGGGATAGTTTGATTGACAGTGGCGTTTCAGCACAGACTGGACTCACTGGTGTCTTACCTTAGACCCGCCCTGAGTGAGCTGTCATCAGTCCGCCATTGTTTCACCGCAGGAGCAGATGTAGACAAGAATGACTCCTCAGCGATTGAGGTGTTCTGTTGTTGGATGTAATAATGAACAGCGCAGTC